TGAGGACACGGGGAGGGGGAAGGGTAAGCTGGGACAAAGTGAGAGAGTGGCATGGACATATATACACTGCCAAATGTAAAACAGATAGCTAGTGGGAAGCAGCCGCATAGCACCGGGAGATCAGCTTGGTGCTTTGTGACCACCTAGAGGGGTGGGATAGGGAGTGCAGGAGGGAGGGAGACGCAAGAGGGAAGAGGTATGGGAACATATGTATATGTATAACTGATTCACTTTGTTGTAAAGCAGAAACTAACACACCATTGTAAAGCAGTTATACTCCAATAAAGATGTCAAAAAAAAAAAGAAAGTCATTTATGCAGAAGCTGCTTTCTTCACATGTCACCAATTTTTTTAAATTTTTTTTTTGCGGTACGCAGACCTCTCACTGTTGTGGCCTCTCCCATTGCGGAGCACAGGCTCCGGACGCGCAAGCTCAGCAGCCATGGCTCACGGGCCCAGCCGCTCCACAGCATGTGGGATCTTCCCGGACCCGGGCACGAACCCATGTCCCCTGCATCAGCAGGAGGACTCTCAACCACTGTACCACCAGGGAAGCCCACATGTCACCAATTTTTGTCTTCTTTTTTTTTTTTACAATAACATTTACAGATATTTTGCTCTTGCCACATAATCTTTTACTCATAGACCTTATTTTACAAGTGGGTCTTCTTACTTGTTTTAGCTTTTAAAATATCATCATGATACTGAGAAATTGCTACACTGAGAAGTACTATAATTTAGATTCTGGGTCTTAAACTGCACACAATCAACTTTGTGTGAATGGTCAGTGATCTGAATATTGCCTAACTCTAACGGTTTTAATTTATTTGTAGTCTGATTGGCCCCAATATCAGTCAGGGAAGTTCATTTATAAGTGTTCATATCTATCATAGTAAAATTTTACACTGAAGTCATTTTGAACAATATAGCAGCATCAACAAGCAAACCTTCTCCCTCATCCTTCTCCCAGGATTGAGAATAAAGTACTGAATTATTTCTTGCCAGACTCTCTTGTAGCTAGAGGTGGTTTTGTGACAGAGCTTCAGGCAATAAGTAGCATGGAGTATTCTTGGGGGCTTCTTGGAAAAAAATAGTTTTTCCTCAAGAAAGAGAGACATACACAGTCATTGAGAACTCTTATTTCCTCCCTCCCTGCCTTTGTAGGCAGCAGTAGGAGAACAAGTTACTTGGAACTGCAGTAGCCATCCTTGGAGACTGAAGCAATAAGCTAGATGGTGAAAGCCAGCATGCTAAAGATGGCAAAATGGAAAAGAAAAGAAGAGCTCAGATTCTTGATGATGTTGTTGAGGCACTGAACCAAACTTGGGACACTCTTCCAGATTTGTTGTTAATAATAAGTATCCTATAATTTAAATCACTGTTACTTGGATTTTCTCCTGAGAGTTTTATAATTTACAAGGAGTCAGCACAGTTCCTGAGATTGCTCACAGAGCCAGTAGCCCAATCTTCCCGTTTCACACACAGTTGCCTGGGACCAGAGGAAGAGAAAAAAATGGGGAGTGGAGGATAGCGTGGTCTGATACTCAGCCTGGACTCAGAAATGAGGTATGGCCGCCTTGTAAAGAGAGGTGGCACACAGAATCAAAGGGGCTTTTTTCATGAGGGCTTTGGTGACCCTTGGGATTTAAGCACCTCTGGTGTTTTGCAGCTTTAAGATCACCAAGAAGCAGCACCCTGGACAGTGGCTTGGGGGCATCAGAGATCACCCAAGTGAGCAGAGGAGGTAACAAGCAGAATTTTTCTTAAGCACACCTGTGTTGTTTCCTAACAACTCTCAGTAGTGACAGGAAGAGACCTTGAAGAGGAACCTGAGGTCTTGTGCTAGCACATGGGGCTACATATCCATGACAGGTAGTTGATATCTCTATGAGCTCATTTGTTCCCAAAGACAGCGAGATCTGTGACATTCGTGATACACACAACACACATAATAATTGTTATTTAAGTAAATTCCTGACGACATACAATTCAAGCCATTCTGCAGACACAACATGCTAAAAGCAGTGTCTCCTTCTAAAATAACAGCTGAAAATCATTTTCATTGTAGATTGCAGAGTTTATGCAAGCCACACTCATGTGAATAAAGTAAGGACATGCTCTGTTATACCCTGAAGCATGCCTTATTTTTGCGTTAGGCTGGCAGGGTGTTTTTGATGTGGTCCACACCCTTGCCTCTGTGAGGTTACTGGTCAGTGATTTTAAATGCATCCCCTCACCCACAGTGAAATCTGACACTACGTTGTATGTAAAATAAATCAAAGCAGCGCAGGTCTGAGAAAGTCAAGATTGGGTACAGGGCCTTATACATGTTGGCCCAGAGTACCTCTGCTCTGAATTGGAGGCAATTTCAAGGAGACTTCTCTCTGCATCTAGTTTGCTGTTGTCTCCGTTTATACAGTTTTAACCATTCAGATTATTCGGACCCCTTTTGCTATCATTTTTTAGTCTGGGTCATGGTTCACTCTAATATGTCAGAAATAGAGTGTTTTCCCAGTCCTCAACCACACTAGGTAGAGTAAGAATTTCCAAGGTAAAGTTCTCCCTTGAGGGATAAATTTGGGAATCTGCACCTTCAATGACTTTAAAGTAATAAAATGTCCAGATACACAGGTGGGAGGGACCTGTCTACCATTCCAGGTCTTTATGTGCTGGCCTCAGCATCCCTTTGGGACTGAGAATTCCTTGAGAGAAGGGACCATTTCTTACTTGTATTCCTTGCCATTCCTAGCACAGAGCAGGTGTTCTGAAAAGTCTGGCTAAATCGAATTGAAAAAAAAAAAGAGAACCGAGGGCATTCTAGAATTGAATTATACTCCAACACACCCGCTTCTATGTATGTGAGAAACACCTTTTTAATGTTAGGATTAAATTTTGTTTTTGCTTGGGCATGCCTTCAGAATCAAATCCGAACTTCTTAACTGCTGCTTTAAGACTGAAAATTGTTTTCTCTTTAAAAGAAAAAAATGTAAAGCCTCTATCTGTGCAAAGAATTGTGCTGGCTACTTTCACATGTTTTGCTACATTTCTTTAGGTACTTTCTATTCCCTTGTCAATTGAACTAAGCATTGTTTTTGCCAAATTATCTCAATTTTAATATTTACTGATTTTTAATACTAGGTACACTATCCCCTCAGGTGGGTATTTTATCCTCTTGTTTACAGATGAGAAAGCTGAAACTCTGATGACGGAAGGGACTCACGCAGTTCCAAGGGTACAGAGTAGGAGGGAAGCTAGACCATCTTCTGACTCTACGCACCATGCCTTTTCTTCGGCTCCATGGTTTCATTTCTTTCCCTTCCATGCTTTATGACTCTTCTTAACCTGACATCCTTATCTCTTTAGTTATCAATCACTTCACCCTTTTCAATCTCAAAAGAACTTTCTCCACAGTTTTCTTTTTTTGTTCATAGTGATGTTTGTGCCGGAGATTCCTGAATGGGTGGGGTGTTGGGATGGAGGGACTGTAAAGAGTTGAAGAGATGTACTCATCTACGAGTTTGAGAAAGAATCTGAGTTGTGGGAGAATGTTTTGTAGAGTCTGTCATTAATTGCCTTAAGTACTTTTTTTCCCTTGCCTGCCTCATTCCAAAGATGTTTTAATAAACAAACCTGACCAAACAGGTTATTTGGAATTTGTATTTACCATCACAATATTCTGAACAGTTGTGTTGTGAAGACCAGGGTATTGTACATAGATGCCAGAGGTCCGGTCCCTTTGAATTGTTATTGTTTACCTGGTTTAGTCCTTTGCTATTCAGAATATAGTCCCTGGGCCACCAGGGTCACCATCTCCTGGGAGCTTGCCAGAAATGCAGATTAGCGGGTCCCACCAGAGGCCTATTGAATCAAAAGCTCTCTCTTGATGCCTAAGCACATTAAAATTTAGTGCAGTTAGATTAGTTTTTGCAGCAATCTTGGTCTGTTTTCTTGGAATCTACATCTTCTCTGCTTAAAATATATGCACACAAACATTTGAAATTAATTCTTTATTATTTTGGTGAGGTTATTCTAATACATGTATTGTTCCATAGGCCTTACATTAGCTGGCTTTTGGAATGCCATTCAATTAATTCAGCTACTTCTAGTCCCCTTAAAAATTTTTGCTATGTTACTTTGATGTCAAGAACCATGTTTTACTTACCTTTGTGTCCACACAGTTTCTTGTATGTAAATGCTTAATAAGTTGAAAGCTGAATTTTGCCGTGTGCTGTCCTCTCACTGTTGTGGCCTCTCCCATCGCGGAGCACAGGCTCCGCACACGCAGGCTCAGTGGCCATGGCTCACGGGCCCAGCCGCTCCGCGGCATGTGGGATCTTCCTGGACCGGGGCACGAACCTATGTCCCCTGCATCGGCAGGCGGACTCTCAACCACTGCGCCACCAGGGAAGCCCTTGAATTGATTTTTGATTGAACGAATGAGTGCACGGAAGAAGAGAAATCTAGATGGCACATTCCTTAAGGCTGGGACAATGTCTTAGCTATCCTGGAATTGCCAGTGCTTCACAGAAAACCTATCAATAAATGCTTCTTGGTTAAGTCGTAGCTGTTAGATAAGGAGATGCTGTCTATTTATTCTTGGCATAAGACCCCAGAGAACAGAAAGAGAAGGGGGGAAAAATGGAGTGCTAAGTATAGTGCTAGGCCCCCTCACAACTGTTACCTCAGCTAATTGTCAGAGCATCTTGTCAACTGGGTATTATTTTACTAAGGCAGAAACTGAGTTCTGAAATTTAAGCACCTCGCCCAAGTTCACACAGCTAGCATCACAGCCTCATAATATTTGGAAGTCATTTGCCATGTCGTTGTGTGCACTGCCCTGTTTCTGTAGAGATTGGAAGGTTATTATTTTCCTTTACAATATTTTCCTGTTATTTTCCTTTATAATAAAACACAAAACACACAACTTTCTGATTTCCCCTGGTGCATCAGAGACGCTGTGGCTCTAGAGGAAAGAGCTCCTCCTCTTGCCTTTCAACAACAGACGAAGCAGGAACAATGGAGTGAAAAGCTACTCCCCTCCCCCCACCCCGCAGGTCGTTTTCTGCCAGCGGAACGCAGGGGCTGGAACCTTCAGGCGTGGGGGGGACCAGAGAGGAACGGACACACGGCCCGGCAGTTGCCTGGTAACGCCCGCTGGAGGAGTCCCTGCGTAATAAGGTCCCCGAGAAGTGTCACTGGCCCTGAGTGGGAGCTCGTACGTAGCCCGTTCTCTCCCCACTAGCAGCCTGCCCCCGCTGCTTGGCGGGCTAGGACAGGGGAAATGTTGCAAGAGGAGTCGGATCTCGCTCTCATTATTGCCCAGATAGTCCAAAAGCTCAAGGGCTCCAATTTGTACGCTCAGTTGGAACGGCAGGCCTGGGTAAGTGAGGCTGAGTGGGAAGGGATGGAGACCAGCGGGGCCGTGGCGGTGCTTCGGCCTCCTTCTGCACCCCGCTGACCTAAGCCGAAGCCCGCCTCGGGTCTCTCCAGCTCCGCTCCTGGGCAGGGAAAAACCTCCCTTCCAGGTGTAAGCTCCACTTGCTCAGCTTCAGGCGTGAGAGTAATAGATTTTTTTTTTTTTTTTTTTTAAAGAAAGGGGGGGCACATCACGCTTTTCTTCAGGCCAGAGAACAGCTGAGGCTCTTCATTCATATTGTAGTCTTTTACAGGGCCTAATTTTTTAAGCTGCTGGCGTCAGTGGAGGTAGGTTGGACTATACCTTCCTTCACTTTTTCCATCCTGTAGGTGGGTTTGAGCCCCCAGGTACATTTTGGCTTTCGCGTCTATTTATCACCTTCTTGCACTCTACCATCCCTGCAATGATTGCCTGTCTAACCGTCCACTGGGCGTTTATCGAGTATTTTCTAATACGCTAAGTTCTTTGGATGCAGAGATTGATCAGGAGATCTTTCCCTTTTTTTTGTGAATGTGATAAATGGAATCATACAGTATGTAAAATTTTGTGCCTGGTTTCTGTCATTTTGCATAATGCTTTTGAAATTCATTCGTGTTGTTGGTATTTCAGTAGTTCTGTTCCTTTTTATTGTTGAGTAATATTTCATTGTTTGGATGTACTACGATTTGTTTATCCATTCATTGGTTGCTGGGCATTTTTGGTTATAGAGCTATGGGTTGTTTCTGTTTATAGAGATTATGAGTAAAGCCAATACATGTTTTCTGGTATAGGTTTTGTTCTTTTGTGTGTTTTTTTTTTTTTGCGGTACGCGGGCCTCTCACTGGCTGTGGCCTCTCCCGTTGCGGAGCGCAGGCTCCGGACGCGCAGGCTCAGCGGCCATGGCTCACGGGCCCAGCCGCTCCGTGGCATGTGGGATCTTCCCGGACCGGGGCACGAACCCATGTCCCCTGCCTCGGCAGGCGGAGTCTCAACCGCTGCGCCACCAGGGAAGCTCTTTGTTTTGGTTTTTAGTTTTCTCTTCTCTTGGATAAATACCTAGGAGTGGAATTACTGAGTTGTATGGTAAGTGTATGTCTATAAGAATCTGCCAGACTTTTCCAAAGTGGCTGTATTATTTTGCATGTCCACCAGCAGTTATGAGGATTGTTCTGTATCCTTGCTAGTGCTTGATTTCAGTTTTTAATTAATTAATTTTTATTTATAATTACACTCCTCTAGTAGGAGCATAATGATATCCCATTGTGGCTTTAACTGCATTTGCCAAATGACTAAAGATATTGAGCATCTTATCAAGTGTTTATATCTCCTTTGGTGAAGTAGTCTGTTCAAATCTTTTGCCTATTAAAAAAAATTGTGTTTGTTCTCATATTGTTGAGTTGTAAGGATTCTTTATATATGGCATAAGTCCCTTATCAGATATGCAGCTTGCAAATACTTTCTCCCAGTCTGTGGTTTATCTTTTCATTTTCTTAACTGGGTCTTTCAAAGAGCAGAAATTTAGTATTTTGAAGACATACATTTTTATCAATTTCTTTCATGATTTGTGCTTTTTGTGCCCTGTCTAAGAATCTTTGCCTCCCCCAAGGTCTCAAGAAGTTTCTCCACAGTATGGAGGTTCCTTAAAAAACTAAAAATAGAACTACAATACAACCCAGCAATCCCACTACTGGGCATATACCCTGAGAAAACCATAATTCCAAAAGAGTCATGTACCAAAATGTTCATTGCAGCTCTATTTACAATAGCCAGGACATGGAAGCAACCTAAGTGTCCATCGACAGATGAATGGATAAAGAAGATGTGGCACATATATACAATGGAATATTACTCAGCCATAAAAAGAAACGAAATTGAGTTATTTGTAGTGAGGTGGATGGACCTAGAGTCTGTCATACAGAGTGAAGTAAGTCAGAAAGAGAAAAACAAATACCATATGCTAACACATATATATGGAATCTAAGAAAAAAAAAAAGGTCATGAAGTACCTAGGGGTAACATGGGAATAAAGACACAGACCTAGTAGAGAATGGACTTGAGGATATGGGGAGGGGGAAGGGTAAGCTGTGACAAAGTGAGAGAGTGGCATGGACATATATACACTACCAAACGTAAAATAGATAGCTAGTGGGAAGCAGCCGCATAGCACAGGGAGATCAGCTCAGTGCTTTGTGACCACCTAGAGGGGTGGGATAGGGAGGGTGGGAGGGAGGGAGACGCAAGAGGGAAGAGATATGGGAACATATGTATATGTATAACTGATTCACTTTGTTATAAAGCAGAAACTAACACACCATTGTAAAGCAATTATACTCCAATAAAGATGTTAAAAAAATGAAAAATAAAAAAAAAATAAATGGTATCATGTCAGGAGGGAAAACCAGAAAACGATAAATTCCATATGTTTAAAAAAAAGAAAAGAAAAAAAAGCTTCTCCTATGTTTTGTTCTAGAAGTTTTATTAGTTTTAGCTTGCACATTTAGATCTAGAATCCATTTTAAGTCAGTTTTTGTATATGATGTAAAGCTTTTTGTCGTTGTTGTTTTTTGCATGTGTATGTCCAATACCATACCTATTTCTAGTACTTATTTGTTGACAGATCTGTCCTTTCTCCACTAATTTTCTTGGCACCTTTGCTGAAAATTGATTTAGTATACACATACACACGTACGCACCCGTGCATGCGTGAATATTTCTGACTCTATTCTGTTCCATTGATCTATTTGTCTATTATTATGCTAATACCACACTATTTTGATTTTTATAACTTTATAGTAAGTCTTGAAATCAGGTAATTAGTCATCCAACTTTGTTTCTCTTTTTCAATATTGTTTTGACTACTCTAGGTACTTTGCTTTGCCATATGAATTTTAGAATCATCTTGTAAATTACTACAAAAAACTTACTGGGATTTGTATTGGGGTTATGTTGAATGTAGGGATCAATTTGGGGAGACTTGACCTCTTAACAGTATTGAATTTTCTGGCCAATGAACATGCTTTGTGTCTCCATTTATTCTTATCTGCATTTTCTCTCATCACTGTTTTATAGTTAAGTACGCAAATATTGCACGTATTTTATTAAGATTTTCCCCAAGTATTTCATGTTTTTTTGATACTATTAACATGCTGACTTTTTTTCTCATTTCAGTTTCCAATTACTTGTTGTTAGTATACAGAAATAAAATTGATATTTGTATATTTACCATGTATCCTGGGGACTTACTAAACTTACTTGTTAGTTATAGTACTGTTTTTGTAGATTGCTTAGTATTTTCCAAGTATATGTGTCATTTGCGAATAAAGATGTTTTACTTCTTCCTTTGCAATCAGTGTGCCTTTTAGTTCTTTTTCTTGCCTTGTTACACTGGCTAGTGACACCAGTGCAATGTTGTATAGATGCTTTTTGTTAGGTCGAAGAAGCTCTCTTCTATTCCTGGTTTTCTGAGTGTTTTGTTACTAATTGATGTAGAATTTTGTTAAAATACTTTTCTTGTATCTGGAGAGATGCTCATGTGATTTTTTATATATGTTGATATGGTGAATAATACTAATTGGTTTTGGTTGTTAAACCGATTTTGCATTCCTAAGATAAATTCTACTTGGCTATAATGCATTGTCCTTATATATTTCTTGATTCAATTTGCTCATACTTTGTTGAAGATTTTGTGAGTATTTGTATAAAGGACATTGGTTTATAGTTTTACTTTAACATCTTTGTCTAGATTTGATATCAGGTAATGATGATCTCTTTTTTTTTTTTTTTTTTTTAACATCTTTATTGGGGTATAATTGCTTTACAATGGTGTGTTAGTTTCTGCTTTATAACAGAGTGAGTCAGTTATACATATATATATGTAATGATGATCTCTTAAATTGAGTTGAGAAGTGTTCCCTTCTCTCCTGTTTTCTGGAAGAATTTGTATAGAATTGATATTATTTCCTCCTTAAATGTTTGGTAGAATTCCCAATAACGTTATTGGGGGCTGGAGTTTTCTTTGCAGGAACATTTTTTAATAAAAAATTTAATTTTTAAAACATGTGTGAGGCCATTCAGATTATCTTGTTGAATGTTCCACATGCCCTTGGAAAGCATGAGCATTCTGCTGTTACTGTACTATACATGTCAATTAGGTCAAGTATATTGACAATTTTGTTCAAGTGTTCTATATCTTTACTGAGTATGGAGGCTTCAGTCAGTATAGTCAGGAGTCAAGCTAGGCTTGAGTTTTGTTATTACTGTCATTAGCTTCAGTGTACCACAAGCTTCAAATTCAGTGGGCTGCTGTAACTTTGTGCTTAGAAATAGTCCTGGGATACTGGAGGGTTTTTCTCAGCGTCTGTATCCTCAGTTTTCATTTGTCTCTTTTGCCTGTACCACAGAGGGAGGTCTCTCGCCACAGAGGGAGGTCTCTCTCCATGCTCTGATCCCTTCCTCAGCAATAGTCTGTTGTTTGTTACTCAGTCCTAAGCTCATGGTAGATACAGGCGTTTTCTGTCCTCCTGGTCCTGTCTCAGTCCAGGTGCCTTGGGAGTGGGTCTTTGACAATGTTCCTTTCTCTTCTGCTTTTGGCAGCCAAACTTTGCCTTGTGGCAAATAATGGGTGAAAGAGAGATTCCTGCCTCTTCCTAGTTGTGGCTTACCTCTGCTATGTACTGGTACAGGATTTGGGGCCCGTGAGAGTTTTCTTACGTTTCTGCGAGGAAGACAGTTTTTGTATCTATCTCACCCCCAGAAGCAACAAATTATTGCCTCCCTCAGAGGCTTAAGGCCTCTTCCTCAAGTGAGAGGAGAGTTTGGGCAAGGTGGCATGGTTGCATGCTTGTTTTGTAGTGGTAGCCTATCCTTTCTTGCACACCTGTGCCACAGAAGGGGGCTCTCTGCAGTTCCTGCTCTCCGTCCTGATGGAGACCTATGGAAAAGAGCATGCAAGTGAGTGTGAATTCCCCTTGGGTTTTGAGCTCCCA